GCCCACGCCCAACCTTGCCCATTCAAATTCAGCGTTCTCTCGCTCTCGGTTACCACCTACGGCCTCGTGAAAATTTTGACGGATAAACCATTAACTCGGGAATCACGGAAAGATATTCATCCTTCGAGGTTTCGAATTCAGCTTTCATACGCTGGCGCGTGAAATTTTTAACTGTTTTTCAATTTTAGAACTATTTTTGCATAGACTAAAATACAAGGAAGTGAAAATCATTAACAGACAGTTGTTCGATGGGTTGAATTGGACAAAACGCATGATCGCACCGTACTAACTCCTTCTTTCGAATTGCCCTTGTGTAGCCGTTTCTAGTACAAGAAAAAGGCATTTACATCTTCCCACTTGTTACAGAGTACTAAAATGATTAATAGTAATAGGCGGCACGCTACTCAGGCCAAGAAGATCCCGACTTGGCGTGGCTTATTTGATAAGTTTTTGATCGAGTTTAAAAATTTTTTCTCTCATTTAAAAATATAAGTAATTGCGTTTGTTACGCTATTACAGAAGATGACAAGTGCTTCCCTTCTGCGACTGGCAGCGCTGTATTGGAGAATCCGGGGTGATGCAACTGAGGCGGTGGAGTGTTTCAGGCGTGCTTTGCATTTCACAACGAGGTGAATGAAGGGATATCAGTTTCATTAATTTCTTTTTTTTGCTCTCTTAAAATATATCTTTTGTTTTTCTTGAAGAACTTCAGAGTACTCTTTTGTTACAAAATATTAGATGAATAATTTTTTGCATTTTTTTTTCCATCCAGGTGCAAAATGAAAGACATTAATAAAAAGCAATAAAACAGCCAAATTTTTTTTTTTTGTTATTTAAGACTTCTTAATAACCAGTCAGTGTGTCGATGCTGTTTCAGTGAAAATTGATAGCGTCGAAGTAGTTTTTAAGCCAGTTTTGTAGGTCCTTATCGCTTTTGAATATGTTTGTTTGGAAAAGTGGTTGGAATTTGGTAGAAAGTGACTGAAAAAGAATAATCTTTTGAGGTAGGGAGGTCAGAAATGTATGAGGGGTGTTGTAAAACCTTCTGTCGTCAAGTTCCTGTTTTTACAAATCATAGTTTTCCATGGCTGAGTAGCATGATTCGGACGAGGTGTTGCCTGCACTTCATCGTGTACTGGATCTTTTGTTTTGTTGCGTAAACTGTGTAAGTTTTTTGGGCCCCTTCATAGTCTTTAGCAGCAAATTGAAGGGCAGAAAAAAGGTAATGTTGGAAATGCTCATTTTTGCCGACCTGGTAATCCATTCTTTAAGCTTGAAAATCAGGCAAAATTAGAAATTGCGCGGAATTAACGGTGATGAATTTGTGGAACGAAAAAGGGGCTTTCATATGGGCATGATAGTTGGTCAAAAAATGGTTAATTATTGGCAAGATGTTTCATGTTTTTCAGCGTGGTGGTATTACTATAAGCATAAAATAACTTCAAAATATTTTCTTATTTTCTTTCAGACTTTCGAATGTTTATTAGAATTTACAGAAAAATGCAAGCACGCACATGGTTTGATTTTGGAAATCTTCTGCATCGTGCTGGTTATCCATCAGATGCGATCGTCCTTTATCAGGTCTGTCTTTTTTAATGATACAGTTAGAGCCTTCTCCTGCCGTAGAGCGAAGGTATCGGGAACAGGTATTTTTTTAATATTATCTTTACTGTGTTAAGGCTCGTTTGTGTTTGTGAAATATTATCGTAATTTCGTCCAAATACTTCAGAAAAGAATGGCTGGGCAATTGCTGTTGTTTTATGCACATTTTAGCTGGCGTTAATGGGAATTGATGACGCAACTATTCATTTGGCACTCGGTGACGCATACTCGTTGATCCAGAACAGAACTGAAGCAATCGAGCACTATGAAAGAGCGTTTGTGATGGATCCAACAATGAAAAATGCTCAACTGAAGGTCAGAGGCCCAGACTTCAGTCTCATATTTGCTGTTCCATACCATTTTTTTTTTTTACAAGCACTAGTCCATCTCCACCTGCCGCAGTAGGAGACTTGATGAAGGCCACTTTTGACAGATTAACAAAGTCACCATTTTCCAGACAGAGTGAGTTTTATTGATGGGTTGAGTAGCCATTTATGTTTGGTGGCAAATTTTGCCACACAGATTAGCGTGTACTGGACTGGAGCTCGTCGGATAGTCGACATTCTAATCAAAAATTGGGTTGGTTCAAAACAAATTATTTTACATGGAAGTCACTGATCAGCTGTGGGGGAAAAAACGCAGTTTTGGCGGGTTTAGTACTGCATTAACGGCGTTGGACACTGCTGCGCACATTTTGGACGGATTGCTATGCGTTTTCATGGTCAGCCAAAACGCATATTGACGATCATGTGTGTGCGTGGGTGTTCGTCTGTTTGGCAGCCAGACAGGCTCAAGTGCTCAAACTTCTGCAAGTGTGTTTCTTGGCCAAGTGCGACTTCAGGAGCGTAACATTAACTTTTACACACATTTGTGTCTCATGTGCGGACATATGAAATTTTTGCAGGAAAACTGCTAACTCAAGAATCAGAAAAATAGAAAGCTGAAATTCTAAGGGGATATTTTAAGCTCACATGCGATTCAAAGATTTCAAATTCGGCTCCTAAGTATGCTTAGGTCTCACATACACATGTGAAACTTTTGTCGGGAAAATTGCCGACTCGGGAACCAGAAGAGCTAGGGCGCTCAAATTTTAGGAGAATGTTTTCTGTCCATGTGCGACGGCGGGATTTTAAATTTAACTTCTGAGTCTTGGTGGCATGTACAGGCACCTGGGATTTTTAGAATGAAATTTACCAAATCGCGAACCGGAAAGACTAGAACGGTAAAATTTTAAAAAGGTGTCGCCAGTTACGATCCAGAGATTTCAATTTCAACTCCTAAGTGCACCTGGCTCTCACTTACTGGCACGTGAAGGTTTTGGCAGGAAAATTGCTAACTGGGGACCAGGAGAGCTACGGGATTTTCATTCATCAAAAGAGCAACAGGATTCGCTGGTCGCTAAGACGCATGTTCGCACCAGCTGTCTGGCCGCTTTGCTACCTGGGCGGAATTAAAAGCCATCGATGGTTGAGTAAGAGAATTGCTTTTGAAGTTTTATAGCGAGGCAGCTTTCAAAAGTTCACATTTAATGTGGTGAGGTTAGAAGTTTTCATGAAAACAGATTTACTGTTTGTGGACCATTTTCAGGCTGCAGCATTGAAATGTGATTTGAAATTAATAAGCGCAATGGAGGAGCAGCATAAGAATTTGCTCGACACAATCAGGGAGAAAAATTTGTACAATGACAGGTATTGAGGGTGGTGGGGGGCGGAGGGCGCATGTTGTTTAATTGATTAGCAGCAGATTCTGCAGCAGTGGCTGGCTAAGCTTTGGGCTTATCTGCCCTTTGGGTTGCGTTAACTGTCCAAGTTTCTCATTGTAAAAATCAATTTTTGTCGGATTTGTGTCTTTCGTATTTTGTAAATTTGCGTCTTTCATTTTCAAACATTTTCAAGGCACGAAGCTATCAAGAAAATGGAGGAAAGTGTGCGAAAAAATGTTGCGGATGTTGATGTCAGGATGCAGTCTGCATTGGCCTATGATTATCTCACTTATGGCATTCTCCCACGTACATTTTTATGTGTTTTTGCAAATGCAAGGAGCATGCTGGCAGGAGATTGCCTGTGTGTATGTGTGTGTGTGTGTTCGCATTTTGTCACTCAATTTCAACTCAGCAGTCAGAGAAGCTAGGAGCCTGAAACCGTTGGAGCATGTTTCTACCCCATGTGCGACTCTCAGTTTTTGAAATCGACGTTCGTGTGAATCGGATTCTCACTTATGGACGCTGAAAAGGAAATGTAATTTCCTTAGAGGGGAAACGATTTCGAGAATAAGACGAATTGAAAAGCTGAGATTTCATACGGATTTTCTTTGTCCTTTTCTGAGCTAAAGATTTCAAAATCAGCTCTAACTTACGCCTATGTTGCGCACACCTTAAGATCGAAATTGAGACATCGTTGGCAAAATACTAACGCGGGAATTAAACTGAGCAAAGTGTTTTGGCTTCACTAGAATACTTGTTTTCCATAGTTGGACAAATAGACGTGAAATGAGCTTTAAACTTGTGCCACGCTTTCAGTTCGTCAATTGCGTTTGTGACGGAAATCGAATTCCTCAACCCGTTAAGAAGCTAAAATTTTACAAGGATATTCCAGACCCATTTGCTAATGAAAATTTCAGATTCAGCTGTAAAGCAATTCAGCTCGCATACGTGCAAGTGGAAGCTTAGTTTGAAATGCTGTTAGCGCCCAGCCAACTCAGTGATTAGATTGAACAGGAGGCAATATTTTCATGAGGTGTTTGCTGCTTTTGCGCAGAGCGTCATGCGTAACATAAATAGCGGCAAACACTGAGGTAGCCGGTGCAATCATGTTTTGCGCAGTTCCGTTCAGCGGTCGTTTTCTTACTACAAATATAACTGTTTTTCACTTTCGTATGTGGAAAAATAGTAGGCATACTGCAGGGCTCCCAAGTTGAGGAGTTTCCCACTGAAAATTTCATGTGCCGGTACATGAAAGCTAAATTTAAAAACATGGATGGAAGAATATCCTTCTAAATTTCAACGTCCTAGTTTTCTGGCTTCCGAACTAGTAGCTTTTGCATCAAACTTGCGCGTGATCGTACTTAAGACCTCTGCATACTTGGGAGCTAAATTTGAGTGTATGAGGTGTCTGCACAAGCAGAGAGTATCCTCCTGAAATTTCAGCCTCACAGCTTTTCTGGTTCCCGAGATAGTAATTTTCCCCACCAAAACTTTCGCGGGCCGGCACATGAAACCTAAGCGCACATGAAAACTGAATTCTGAGAGGTCACATTCCCCCAGAATTTCAGCTGTATTTTATAGGTTCCGAGATAGTATTTTTTCCACTGAAATTTTCACGATGGCGTAATTGAGACTCAGGATTAGCTGAAAACTAATTCTGAATTTATGGGGCTCATAGACGAATCCAGAGCAGGCGAAGAGACTTGTAACACAGCTTTCGTTCCCCCCTCTCCCCCTCCTCCTGCCCTTTCCCTGTCCCCGCGCGGCACAAGCACCACTCTGCAAAAGCTCGGGTTTGTTCACCAGTAAAACTAAAGTAACTTTGATTAGCTACAACCCGGTTCCTAGTTTTTGCGTAGTTCCAGGGAGGGGCCCCACTCTTACCTTACTTGTTATCGCCCCCTTCCCTCATTCTAGGGGCTTCACTCTTCCCCACCTCCCGTTGCCCTTTCCCTTCCCCTCAGGAGTCCGCCTACTACGGGGTTGCACGTGAGAAGGAAACATTTTTGTTAAATTTCACCTCCGTGGCTTTCATATTTCCTGGGATAATTTTTCTGACAAAACTTTCACGGGGCCATACGTGATACCCAAGTGTACGGGGAAACTGAATTTACATTTTCTGGGTCGCACGTAGGTAGGGGACATACCCATAAAATTTCTGCTTCCTACCTTCTGTGGTTCCCGAAATAATAATTTTCCCCGCCAGAAATTTCACGGTACCTTACATGTTACCCGCGCGGGCACGGGGAGGCTAAAAATTAAATTTTCTGGGTCGCACATGGGTAATGGATATACCCGTAAAATTTCAACTCCCTAGCTTCGGTGGTTC